CATCAACAACAAGAACCTCAACTTCAAGGAGTTTTTGGGGTGGATCGAGACTTAAGAGCCCTTTTCGACTCATGAAATAAAAGGAGCCTGTTGGGAGACAATCTAGCCCAACAGTTTGCACTTCTTTTCTCTTCAATAACTCAACTTTGGGAGCTTGTGGTGTTTTGATTGTTGAGTTGCTCCATTAAATCTTCCCCGTCTTCTTGTCCGTCCACCATCCTTCACACCTGATCTGGTAAATTTGTTCTACCCTCCTTATCTTTCTTCCATTGATGACAATGTCTTTCTTAAGTGTGTGTGTGTGGAGGGGGGGGGGGGGGGGGGTGTTCCAATCTGTGAATGAATTTTAGACTATCTTTTGAATGCTTGAAGCCTAGTTGAATGGCTAAATTAAAAAAATTAGAGGGCTCCAAGCACCTGTGTATTGCTTTAGCCTTCATTGATAGTGTTTTGTAACCTAGAATTGTATGCAAAAAATTTCAAATTTTAGAGTCTCAAACACCTTATCCCATGCTTTGTGCTACTCATTGTGCTTTGAATTCTTAGATGTCATGATGGTGTGAATTCTAGGGAGGATAAAGTTACGCTGTGGAGGGTGTTGGTACATGAGAAATCTAAACTCCACTTCAACCCTTTTGTTGGGTGATACTGTTGACTAGTGATGCTAGGACATTTGTGTGGTGACTCTCTACCCTTGTGGACTCGAAAACATTTTGCAAAAGTCGCTCCATTTTTCCAATGTGTTTTGAATGTTAAAAAGAGTGTCTCACGTGTTGTGGCAATCAACAGAGTGCTTATCGAATCTGTTGAAGGATTTATCTAAAATCGGTTTGCTATTTGAGAATGTGTAAGGGAGACAAAGAAATTATTTCCGAACCTTCACCTACTACTCTCCATCCTCTCTTGCACCTCTCCCCTCACGGGAGTTGATAAAGAAGATACCATTTCTTCTGATCAAGTCAAGAGACCTCGACTCTTGTTTATCTCACCTGTGTGGCAACCAGTCACTAACTTGGGCCGATCGCAATAGATCGAGTCTAGAGATGGGAGTGTGCTTTGGAAAAATGTCGCAGAAAGTTGAAGGGGGATTTAGGAAAATGATTATTATCGTTTGGAAGCTTTCAAGGTAGAAGATGAAGATATGAAATAATTGGTTATAAGTTTACTTCTTAGCTTCTTGTTTCTTTTGGAAGCTTTGAAGGTTAGAACCTGAACATATTTTCTGGAGGTGGGAGTGCTGCATACAGAATAAGGAGAAGGAAGAAGATGAGTTGTCATTTGTTAAAGAAAAAAATTTTCAACTATATAATTTTTGGGGTTTTAAAAGTGTGATCTAAACAAACAAGTTACGGTGAAAATTATTGGGACTATTGTGCATATATAATTTTTAATGTGTGGAGTTAGTAATTATGATTTTAAATTCATAATTAATTTTTTCAAAATTAATAGGGGACGTCCAATTATATCAATGGTTCGGATATGGCATACGCTTGGGATATATAAGTTAATACAACATATATATGATAAAGACTAGCGTACTCTATACACATGAGTTCACATATATTATTTGTACTTTGATAATTTAAACGAATCAGAACTGTTGATTTTTATTTTAAGATGAAATGAATCTTACGGTTTGGGTTAGAGAATTGAGGGTCAGGGTTCACCCATTAAAGGTTGGGGTATAATATCATATCTTAAACTCCAATGAATTAATGGTCTAAATAACAAAACTCAAAGGACGTACGGTAAGGTTAGTGACGCTTGCGTATGCTATCCTGAACCATATATATAAATGAATTAACCAGAGTTTGTGGTATGATCCTATTGCCTAACCTCTAATGGGTGAACCCCAGTCCCTAATTTTCTTACCCAAACCATGTGTTTCGATTAAACTTAAAATAAAAATTATCGATAATTTCGACGAATCAGAATTGTTTATTTTCATTTCAAGATTAAATGAATCTTATACTTTGGGTTAGTGATTTTAGGAATGGGGTTTATGCATTAGTGATTAGGGTATAGTATCATGCCCAAACTCCGGTGAATTAATTGTCTAAATAACAAAACTCAACGGGTGTACGGTAAAGTAAGCGTACGCTGGCCTTAACCATATATATATATATAATGACTTCTATCGTACCTTGAGAGTAAAATAAACGGTATAGTATTATCTTGAGTAAGAAAATGATATCTAGACTTTGAATTAACTGGATTTTGGGGCATGATAGTACTATACCATAACCCTTGATGAGTGAACACTAAGTATTGTTAATTAAATCATAGACCTTAAACTCCAAAATAGTGCATGTAATTTGTTGCATATATTTTGGTGAATCATAACCATCAATTGTTGTTTATAATAAAATCTCCCTTAATTTATGAGATTTATAGAATCAAGCTCTACATTTTGATTTTTAAGAGTCAGGGTACAGTACCACGTCCCAACTCCAGTCACTTCAAGTTCTAAATATAGAATGAAACCCTACATTTATATCTTTATGTTTTATAATTAAAGAGATCTTAGTTTATGAGATTTATAGAATTAAGCTCTAAATTTTTATCTTTAAAGGTGAGATACAATACCATGTCTCAACTCCCGATCACTTCAAAGACTACATATAGACCTTGTTGATCTCAAAGAGAATATGAAACTTTGTAGTAGACATCGTGATGATGTACACCGTCAACGCCCCCCCGCCCCCACCCCCCCGCCGCAAGCGATGCTCCTGCCGCATCGCATCGTGGCGATCGCGTGCGAGTTCCCCCCAAGTGATTGGAGATATATGATACCAGCACCTCTATTCGGCATTCTTATCAGAGAAGTCATGCCGTCAAATACCGGTTGTCTTCTTTTGTTTCTTATTCAGGCCAGGTGCCACCCCTAGCTTCCTTGCTTTTTTGGCAGCGGTCACGTCTAATGATGAACCCCGATCATTCCGTGAAGCCTTCAAGGACCCTTGGTGGCACGTTGTTATAGCACAAGAATTGCAGCCTTGGAGCGAAATGGGACATGAAGTCTTGTGGAGTTTCCTCGCAGCAAGCGAGCCATCGCGGTAAAGTGGATTTATAAGATCAAGTTCTTCCCGAACGGGACTATCGAGCGCTACAAGGCACGCCTCATCGCTAAAAGCTATACCCAAATCGAAGTTCTCGACTTCCATGACACTTTCACACCCGTGGCAAAGTTAGTCACTGTGCGCTGCCTCATCGCAGTCGCCGTCTGCCATAGTTGCCACCTTCATCAGTTAGACGTCAACAATGCTTTCCTCCACGGTGATCTACCCGAATCTTTCATCTGCTCAAATCTCTCTATGGTCTCCATCAGGCTTCAAGGAACTGGTATAAAAAATTCACCGAGGCCCTCGTTGCATTGGGATTTCGATCCTCCCTAGCTGATCACTCCTTGTTTATCTACAAGCAAGGGAGTGTGTTTGTCGTGGCATTAGTCTACGTGGATTATGTCCTTCTCACTGCAATGATTTGGCTTTCATGAACACAGTCAAGGCATCCCTAGATCGGCAGTTCACCATCAAAGATTAGGCCCCTTGCGTTATTTTTTGGGCATCGAGATTGCCGGCACCAAAGAAGGCGTCATCCTAATCAGCGAAAGTACACTTTGGACATCTTGAAAGATGCTGGCATGGAAGCTACCCGGCCGTCCACTTTCTCGGTGGAACAAAACCATCACTTGACTCATATCACGGATGACACTCTGCCGACCCATCTTCTTATTGTCGGTTGGTCGTCTCCTTTACTTGACGGTCACGCATCCGGACATCACCTATGATGTCAACGTCCTTATTCAGTTTGTCACAACTCCTAGTCAGCGCCACCTGGATGCGGCGCATTGTGTCCTTCTCTACTTGAAGTTTGCTCCCGGTAAGAGTCTATTTTTCCCTACTGCTAATCCACTCACTCTTACTGCTTATTGTGACACAGATTGGGGCGGGTGCGAGCGTACTCGACGGTCAACCATTAGATACTTCATTACTCTTGTCGGCGCCTCTGTCTCTTGGCGCACCAAGAAGCAGCGCGACTTTGTTAGATCCTCTGCTGAGGCTGAGTACCGTTCCATGGAAAGTACAGTCAGTGAGCATCTGACTTCGTTGTCTTCTACACGAGCTTGGTGTTCCCCAAATCCTGCACTCCACTATTCTGTGATAATCAGGCCGCTCTCCACATTGCGGATAACTCGGTCTTCCATGAACGTAAGAAGAACGTGGAAATGGACTGCTATTTTGTCCGCGAGAGATTTAAGTCAGGTGACATTGCTCCTCGCAAGATCAGTTCTCATCTCCAGGTTTCCGACATTTTCACAAAGGCTCTTGGTGCCGATCAGTTCCAGTTTCTTCTCTCCAAGTTGCACGTTCGAGACATTCACCGTCCAACTTGCGGGGGAGTATTGGGCAGGTCCACCACAGGAGCCCATGCATGCGCACGTACAACTGCATGCCACAAGGAAATCGAGTATTATTGTACTCCTAATTGTGCCCTAGTTGATCTAAGTTGTATGGGGTATAAGAATGCTTGAGCAGACCTTGGCCGTAACAACAATTAATAAAAAAACATAAACCCGTGGACTAGCCCCGTACCAACGGGGATACCATGTAAACACTATCTAGTCTCTTCCATTTTACATATTTGACAGAAATAAAATATATAATGAGAGATTTTTGAAATAGCAAGGGGGTTTAGCTATTTCAAAATCCTAAGTATGAGGTTTTCGAAATTACTCATACTTAAAATCCCTAATATTTTTCATTCCAAAAGGAGCAATTTTGGTGAAAGCGCTCAATGTAAGAGATTGTGCTGAAATTCCTCACAAAAATCCTGATCCAAATGCCCATAAAACCAGTAAGTTTTGTATCTTTTCTTGTCGGTGGGCCCTTAGAATCGGCCTGAGGGATTGTTTACTATATGTGGAACCAAACATTGATTTCCATTGTAAAGTTGAAGAGTTAACGCTATATATATGGATCAAATAAACTTCCAAACCCAAACTTTATTTTGTCGAGGCCACCCAAAATCCATCTCTCGGTAGCAGAAGCGAGATCCAAGGGAAGAGACAAGGGACAAGAGATAAGGAAAAAGCGAAGAAGGAGACTTTTTCCTTCTGTTGCCTGAAAAACCTATATGGTGAATGAACATGAACGTCGAGGAAGAAGATGACCACGTCGAAAAAAAGAAGAAAAATAAACAACAAAACCCCACCGACGCTGAATTTTCCGTTATAAACCACAACCTCCCCTATAAAATGCAATTATTATTTCCATAAAAAAAAAAAAAAAAAAAAGAATGCAAGATCGAAACCCAAATCATCTAGACTCGACGTTGTCGCCCAATGCCGACAACAATCATCCCCAACGGAAGTCGTTGCACCGACGAGCAATCTCGGAGGTCCAATTTTGCATTATTCCTCAAGACTTGGATCTCTCTTCTGCTACCTCATTTGACGACCTTGGATCCGAAAATGATCTCTTCTACACCTACATGGACAAGGGGGAGAATCTGAATCCTTGCCGTAGTAGTGGCGGACTCGAGGCAGGTAACAAGGCTTCTTGTCTAAAAGGAAAGCATCGACACAGCAATTCCATTGATGGCTCTTCCATTGTAGAGTCCATCGAGGCCAAGAAAGCTATGGCTCCTGATAAACTTGCTGAATTGTGGAATGTGGATCCAAAACGAGCCAAAAGGTATATTATATACACTCTTTTTTTCTTTTTCCGTCCCCTCTTTTTCTAACGTTACCCCACAATACTATGAAATCATGGTCATGCTTCTAGGAGAAGAGAGAAATATTCTTCTACTTTTAAATAAGCAGATAAAATCGTGATTAATAGGGATTAATGGAGCATTTTTGTTAACCTTATGTGTGGGAAATTTTCAAAAGGGATTTTTTTTCCAATATTTGAGTCCATTATCGTTTACAATCAATAAAATGTACAGGTAAAAAGATTGTATGGTAAAATTGATTGTTCGTGGCAGATTCTGAATTGTCCAACGATGTAATTTTTGTGTACACATGCACTCTGTAAAGCAACATATATGATAGCTATATTGTAGCAATATAAATACATGCTGAAAGTTGATTGTTTAGGGCAGTTTTTTTTTAAAACTATAGTTGGCCTTATTCAAATAACTATAGAACTCAAACAATGGTGGAATGGGTCTCATTTGGACTTATTTTAAGAAAAACTTCAACACAATTGTCCAGGATCATTGCGAATCGCCAATCCGCTGCACGTTCTAAAGAGAGGAAAGCTCGTTATATACTTGAACTTGAAAGGAAAGTGCATACCTTTCAAACAAATGCAACTACTCTTTCTACCCAACTCTCATTATTCCAGGTGAAAAACTCTTGTTTAAACCGAAGAACAGCTTGTCCTCTTACACAGCTCCATTGTGTCTAGTACTTCCTTTTTATTCACAGTCGCTCATACCAAAGTGTGTATGTGTATGTGTATGTGTATGTGCTTTTAAAATGAAGATGTTGCTCTTTTATGTTTGTTTTCTCCTGCCAGAGAGGTACATCTGGTCTAACCAACGAGAACACAGAGCTCAAGCTTCGGCTACAAGCCATGGAACAACAGGCTCAATTGCACGATGGTAAGCTGCAAGACTATGATCAGAGGGGTCTAACTCTAACATAAATGATAACATTTTTCAAAGTGATGTGACATTGTTCTTCTTCTCACCCCATAGGTATCCATTAATTCGTAATAACACTTTTAACTTGTGTTTGGTGCAGCTGTGAATGATGCATTGAGGAAGGAAGTAGAGAGGCTGAAGCTTGTAACCGGAGACAGAATGACTCAAGTAGTGGATCCTTTCTACAATGGAGTGAACCATCAACCCACTTTCTTCCCAATCCAACCGCAGTTTGGACATGTAATGAGCAACATGAATCATGTTCCACAGTATCATCATCCTTTCATGCCCACTAATAATGTGCCAGCTAATTCACATGGGCCTGCTCTAGCTGCTTCTGGGCCTCATTATGGACCTGGTTTCTCGGAGATGTTGCCACACGATCCAATTGGGCGTCTCCAAGGGCTTGATATCAGTAGTGGAAACTATGTTGTGGTAAAATCTGAAGGTCCCTCTATTTCTGCTAGTGAGAGCAGTAGTGGCTAGAGACATCACATAATTCTTTCTAGTTTGCTGGACCCATTGCCCACTTTTTGACCTTGTACGGACCTTGAGGGCTAACCTAATTTCACATTTAATTTAGATTTGTGTAATTAATGTAATATATACTAGTGAGCAAGTTTTCTGTAAACTATTTTTATTTTGTTTAAACCAATACCAACGAGTAAAAAAAAAGTATGCGCCGCGCTCTGTCCTCTCTCCTACGAAAGAACGTGGAAGTGGCCGGAGCTTGCTTTCTCTTCTTCTCCATTTGGCTTTCGAAGGATGAAGCCATGGAAATTCTAGCGATGCTGGTGCATTGGCTGAGATGTGTTCGAGAAGGGGTTATCAAGGCGTGGTCTGGTATTTGGTTTGTTGCGAGCCCTATGACGCGCACGACGGCGAAGAAACGTTGGCTGGAAGACGGGCGGGGTGGTGTGATGTCCATGGTTGTGTTATGCGGTACAAATCCGAGCAAAAAGGATGGGGGGAGTGATTGGACCCCTAGTAAGATGGAAACGATAGCTAAGGTAAGAAGTTCAGATGAAGGCCGGCGCTCGAACATACACCAAGATGGGGTATGGAGCCGGATCGGCAAGCGGAAACCATCGTCGATCAACGGTGAGGCTCGCTCCCTAGAGCTGACATGGAGTGGTTGGCAGAAAATACGCATCAACCGTTTATATTAATATTATTGATAATATTAATTTTAAAATAAGGAAAGAGATTTACTTGAACCGTAAATATACAGGTGTTTGGGATGGATATCAGGATCGATCTCAAGATCTTTCTGTTTTTGTAATAAACCCTTGGGTTATTCTCCAAGATCAACCGACATCCCCCGCGTGGGATACGACTCTTGGTGGTTATTTAAACCTAACCGAGTTCTGCACTACCCTACTCGTACAAAAACAGTTTAAGGGTTGGCTGGTTTCTTGTTTACAAAGAATAAAGGACTTCCGAGCCTTTTCTTGGTTGGAAATACCTGGTGGCAGTGCTTGGCCGTTGAAACAAAGCAACGTTCAGCTGGAGCAGATATCAATGGCGGGGTCGAATATTTGTATGGACCAGATTGTGGAGTTCTCCACTGATGATGTCGCTGTAAGCATGCAGAGAGCTAAGATGAGCTTGCTGGGAAGACTCTTCATTGAGAACCGGCCAAACTTATCAGTCATCCACAAAATCGTAACAAAAGCTTGGGAATGCCGCAAGAAGGTGCAGGTGTTAGAGGCGGAGATGGGCCTCCTTCAGTTCCTGTTTGATGATTCCGACGACATGGACTGGGTGTTGAAACGCACACCTTGGCCGGTCAAAGACTCGGTTCTGCAGTTGCAGGCGTGTACACCAGTCACAGAGGAGGTGTTTGCTTCCTTAGCTTTTGCTCCATTCTGGGTTCAAATGTGGGGAATCCCATCCCATTGCCGCACGATTGCGTTCGGAAGAAGAGTTGCGGAAACAAAGCTTGGGGAGATTCTCGATGTTGGACTGTTCGGGATTAAAGGTGAGGCGGACCAGTTTGTTAAAGCTCGTGTTAAGATTAATGTCTTGGAGCCACTGCGATCTCAAATCTGGGCGAGCAATGATGTAGCTGGGAAATTCTGGGTATCGTTTGCTTATGAGTTTCTCCCATTGTTCTGCTTCCATTGCGGGCGCTTGGGGCACATGGAGCGAAATTGTGTCTACCCTGACCCAATTGGCGATGAGAGGTACGGCCAGGAGATGTCGACAACAGAAGTCAAATTTTTCCTCAATGAGGAGACGCTGAAAGCCGCCCAGTTCTTGCCGCCTCCCTTGCCGCAGTCGGTCTGGGTAAGCCCCAAAACCAAAGGACAGGCAGCAGCAACACCCTCCTCCTGTGGTGTGAAGGTGAGGCCGGATGAGATGAGGCCGTCCCATGAGACAGTGTTGGTTGTCCCCGCGTCTGGTGGCCTCTCCCAGAAAGGGTTACAAGGTACCGGTGGCCGTGATATTGGAAAGCAAACAAGGACAGGAGCCACACCGAAGGGTGGCCGCAAAGGGGAGGATGGTGGGAGTCAATCGAAGGGCGTAAATTCGATGAAGATGGTGGCCGCTGGCCCTCATGGTAAGCAGGGGCCTGCTGACGAGGGACGTGGTGACGTGGTGATGGCTGAGAAGGGGGATTGGCCAAGGAATAATGGGAAAGGGAAGTCAAGGAGGGAGGATGGGGCGCTGGCGGTGTGTGTTTTGGAGGCTGGAAAGCAGCAGAAGAGTGCTCGATCAGAGATGGAAAAGGGGATGGAAGGGCCAAATTCTGAGGAGAAGAGTGCCACCGAAATGGAGAATAAAAAGAACGGGCCGTCTCTGGCGGCGGGCAGGGTAGAGATGGTTGGGGCTGAAGGGAAGATCACGACGAGGGAGATGACAATGGAAGTGGGGGTCGGGACAAGGGAGGGGACCGTGGCGGTGGCCGAGACAAGGGATGTGTCCGTGGGAGTGGCCGACGAGTATGGGTGCAACTTGACTAGGCTAACAGAGGTGTTCAAAATGGCAGTCTCGGAGGAGGAACTCGAAGTTCGTAAGCGAACAGTGGATATGGTGGAGGATCTTGCGCAGGATCCGACGTCGACAAAGAAGATGTGCGCTGAAGATTCAGCCGAGAATCCTAAAGACATGGTGGAGGTAGCCAGCCCGAAATGGCCCCAATCGGATAAATGAGACTTCTGTCTTGGAACGTGAGAGGGATTGGGCCGTCCCTCACGTTCCAATCGCTGTAGGGTTGGTTAGAATGAATAATTCGGATCTGGTTTTCTTGTCTAAAACTAGATCTCGTAGAAAGGTTGTTTCCCGTCGTATGTGGGGGTTAGATTTTGAGTCGGATTGTCGTTTTCTTGTTGATGCCGTCGATATGTCTGGTGGCTTAGCGATAGGGTGGTCCCCGAGCACTTGTGCCTCGGTTATTTGTAGTTCGTCGTTTTTTATTGCTGTTCAGATTAATAATGTTGAGATTCCTTATGTGGCGGTGTGTGTACGTGAGTTGTCTCGAGTCAGTGCGAAGGGGCCAGTTAGAGGTCCTGCGTGCGTATTGCCAGGGGATTACGGAACCTTTTGTTGTCATGGGTGATTTTTACTCGATCCTATCGTCTAATGAAAAAGAGGGTGGGGTGTCGTGGGCCCCTGTCCATTCACAGGATCTCCGGGGTTTTGTTGATTCGCTGGCGTTGATTGACCTTGGCTTTCATGCCCCTCCTCACTTGGACAAATAAGCGGATGGGGGCTGCCTGTATTCAAAAACGTCTTGAGCGTGTGCTAGGTTCTGCTTCCTGGACAGAGTCTTTCCCTGACACGATTGTCCTTCATTGTACGGTATTGGGTCTGACCATCGTGCTCTTATCCTGTCGGATAAACCGTTTAAGAGAACGGCCCGACGCTTGTTCCGGTTCGATGCCAGATGGATGGATAACCCTGAGGTTTGATTAATGGTCAAGTATGTGTGGGAGCAGGAGGAGACTGGCTCCTCAATGTTTCGGCGGTGGACGAAACTCAAAAAGGTTCGCCACATGCTTTATGATTGGGCGCGTGCGGGTGATTCCAATTCGGCACGAAATATTCAAGCATTGCAAGAGGAGGTTAAGGCGGCGCGAAGCGCAAATTCGGTGGATTGGGATAGGATCAAGGAGTTGGAGCTGGAACTGGGTCGACAATGGAATGCGGAGGAGGTCTTTTGGAAACAAAAATCCTGGGTTCGTTGGCTTAAGGAGGGCGATAGAAATTCCTCTTACTTTCACATGGTTACACGTGCCAGGCGTAAGAGGAATTTTATTGCGAAGTTGTGGAATTTGGTTGGTGACTGGGTGGAGGACGAGGCGGATAAGTCTAAACTGGCAGTGGACTTTTTCGAGCATCTTTTTACCTCAGAAAACCAGGTGGAGAATATGGATGATAGGGTGGATGCGCTACCTCTTGAGCGTATGGTTACGGCCGAGATGAACCAAGCCCTGGTTCTTGCAGTTTCGCCGGATGAGATTCGCCTGGACGGTGTTCTCTATTGGGCCTACGTAGGCACCGGGATCTGATGGGTTCACGGCAAAGTTCTTCTGATCCTTTTGGGACATTGTGGGGCCATTAGTGGTGGATGCGGTGGGGTCTTTTTTTCGTTAATGGAAAGCTCCTCCGTAGTTTCAATCATACGTGGATTACGCTAATCCCGAAAGTGGAGGAAGTGGAGACTATGCGCCAATTGAGGCCAATCAGCTTGTACCAAGTTGTCTATAAGACAATTGCTAAGATATTAGCAAATAGACAGGCAGTGGTATTACCAGCTGTTGTCTCTCCTGAGCAAAACGCTTTTATCAAGGAGAGACAAATTGTTGATAATGTGCTGATTGGGAATGAGATCATGCACTATCTTAAGATCAAGACGAAAGGAAAAACTGGTTACATGGCTCTATAGGTTGAAATGGAGAAGGCCTATGATAGGGTCAAGTGGCCTTTTTTACTTTCTCTCTTGAAGAAGCTTGGTTTTGGTGCGCAATGGATTCGGTGGATCCAGGAGTGTATCTCGTCTTTTAATTTCTCTGTCATGATGAATGGGATGCCAGCTGGGTATTTCCGGCCGTCACGAGGGCTTCGGCAGGGCGACCATTTGTCCCCTTTGTTGTTTGCGCTTTGTACGGAGGGTCTGACTGCGTTGATTAAGAAGGCGGAGGCGGAAGGACGGTTAACTGGGGTTCGTGTTAGCCCGCGTGCGCCGACTGTGTCTCACTTATTGTTTGCAGATGATTCATATATGTTTGTGAAAGCATCAATGCAGCAGGGTGAGCATTTGCTTCAGGTTTTGGGGGAATATGAGGAACTGAGTGGCCAGCGGGTCAACTTGAACAAGTTTGCGATTTGCTTTAGTCGCAATATCCTAGAGGAGGATTGTACGGCCATGGCGTCACGGTTGGGGATCGGCGCGGTGGGGTCCAGGATAAGTATCTCGGGCTTCCCACCTTAATTTCTCGGTCAAAATATGATACCTTTCAGTTTCTGGAGGAGCGACTGTTACAAAAGCTCCAAGGATAGAAACAGAAGCACTTGTCTTGGGCTGCCAAGGAGACCTTGTTGAAAGCAGTGGCGGCGGCTTTGCCGGTTTATGTCATGGCTTGTTTCAAGCTCTCTGTTACGTTGTGTCGTCGCCTTGATAAGTATATGGCCCATTTTTGGTGCAGGGATTCGATTGATAGGATCCACTGGATGTCGTGGCGGAAACTGTGTCGTAGTAAGCATGAGGGGGGTCTGGGTTTTCGATGATTTGAACAGTTCAATCAAGCTCTTCTTGCGAAGGTTGGATGGCGTATTCTGCAGAACCCTGACTCTTTGCTTGCGCGAATTTATAAAGGGAAGTTTTTCCCCAATGGCACCTTGCTGGTAGCCACAGCTCGGTCCAGGCCATCTTGGGGGTGGCAGAGTGTCTTGTATGGTGTCAAGTTGCTGAAAGCAGGATTGCGTTGGCAGGTAGGATCGGGGTAGGAGGTGGAGATTGCGACTGATAACTGGGTGCCGGGGTGTCATCCTAACCCTCCTTTGGTGAAGGCGTCTGCCAACCTCTGGGAGGGTGCGACGGTGGCAGGGTTGCTGGGTGAGGAGCCAGGGACGTGGTGTGATGGTTGTTTGGCGAACTGTTTTTCCCCTGAAGTGGTAAGGGCAATAAAATCAATTGTTCTACCGAGAGTGCCAATCCGCAACAAACTGGTCTGGCATGAGGACCGATCCGGAAAGTATACGGTGAAGTATGGTTTATCACTTGGCGATGCAGATGAATAGGAGCAGGTGGACAGCAAAGTGTGAGCCTTCCTAGATGGATCCCGTGTTGTGGAAAAGGTTGTGGCGCCTTGATTTCCCGCCGAAGCTCAAGGTTTTCCTTTGGCAAGGGATGAGCAGGATTTTTCCCACTACAGAGGCTTTCCTGGCTCGAGAGATCCCAGTCCTGGAACGGTGTCCGGTCTGTTGGTCTGAGGTTGAGTCTCTGGAGCATATGGTTTTTTAGTGCCCGGTGGCGAAGGATTTGTGGGTAGTGGCAGGATTGGAAAATGTGAGGGAAGGGCTGCCACAGGAGAACGTTGGCCTTTTTGTTCGCCGGTTGGTGGCGAAGGTAGCGGATGGGGGGGGGGGGGGCTCTTATGTGCTTTATCTCCGTGTTGTGGAGGGTATGGAAGTCCCGCAATTGGGTTGTGTTCGATGGATGTCAATTCACCAGGGAGGTTCTACGGAGCCAGTGGATGACCCAGGTTGAGGAATGGCAAGATGTGAGGGGTCTAGTGGTGGACCAACAACAGGGTGGGCGTCGGGCTGTGCTGGTATCACTGGTTCCGGTGCCGCAAGGTGTATCTTGGGTATGCTCCTTTGATGGTGCAGTACGTGGGGTGTCACATTCAGCTGTGGGGTTTGTCCTACAGGGGCCGGATGGGGTGGTGCTTAGGGCTTCTGGGAAGAAGTTTGCGGGGCTTACCGATCCGATGCTGGTGGAGCTGGTGGCGCTTCGGGAAGCGATTTGGTGGTGTAGGTCGATGGGGCTGATAGGGGTTTGCTATTAAGGGGATACGAAGGTCGTCATCGACAAGGTTTTGTCCAGGTGCGCTTGGGATTGTCAAGGGGGCGCGGTGCTGTAGGAGGTTCAGGAGCTACTGTTTAGCGTAGCTGGGGAGGTTCTGCGATTTGTATGCAGGGATAACAATAGGGTAGCCCATAGGGTGGCTAGGAAGGCTCTTTCTTTGCTTCCTGCTCTTATTGGGGGGTTTGATTTTTGCGCTTTGCTCCGAATGGAGTTGTAATCGTTTGTGATCTACTTGTTCTTGGTAATACAAGCTATCTTTTGTCAAAAAAAAAAATAAATAATATATACTAGTTTTCTACCCATCTCTTGGTCGGATAAGTTTTTGTTAATAATTTTGCATTTTCTTACTTAGAATATTAATTTGGATTGAACCATCTACCCAAACAAGTGACTGGATAAATCAAATTGTTCAAATGAGGTCCACTGGATTAGTACAATTATTTCTCATTTAAAATATACTATTAAATTATTTGAAACCTTAATGACTAAAATATAATGTATTTCACAAGTATCATTTGGTATTTACATAATATAATGCTAAAATTTTCTCCTTCCTCTCAAATCTCTTTCCTACAATGATCAAGCTTTCTTCCTTCACTTCACTTCCTTTCCATCTTCCATTTTCGCTATCACCTGTTTCTTTCAATTTTAAATCTAATTCTTACAAATTCTTAGTTAGAATTACTTTTTTGTTTGTTACAAATTACAATTCTTTATTAACCATTTACAATGATAATGCTATATTGTATGCACACAAAATTCAAGGTGTACATTAAACTTGCATGCTTAATATCATTAATTATTTCCCCCATAGTTATGCCATTTTTAATAATGAATGTTTTATGTTTACATAATTTATCCATAATCATAAAAGTCGTGTTTTTAGTATGAATCTCGCACTATGTGTATCTAACCATGAGCCAATTTCGATCCTCATTTAATAAATATCTTAGTACCTACCATAGAAACCTTATATGTGTTGTTTGTGAAGATAGTCCACTCTCAATGAGCATTCATACTCTTGTACATTTTTTTGGGTAAATACAATATAATAGCCAAGCCTTTTCGTATTAAAAAAATAATAGCCAAACTTTTTCATAAACAATTTATGCTAAACGGT